ACCTGAAACATGGCTTTGCAGTGAGCTTTGTCTCCTATCTGAACAAATGTTTTAAAGCTTTTAATGTTTTTGACAAGCTCCCACACACAGACAAATATTCAAGTCCTGACTAAGGCTGTCTTTTGACCTAGAAGAGGAGAGAGAGTTTCTCTGGGGATTTTCAGAGGGCCCCTGGTAATTCTCAGAGAGATTTGCTCTCTTTCTATAACAAACATGCTAAACTAATTAGGCTCATTTTGTATGTTAAATTACATGAGAAGCATTGTCAAATAGGTAACAGTAAACTTTCTTAAATGGCATTATGTGAATGAGTGTTATTGACATAAATATTTTAAAAATTACCTGATCTGTTTTTATTGTCAGCCATAATTCTTGTTATTATTCCAAAATGTTGTATATCACAGAGGTGGTCAAATGCCTTTGTCAATTACCATTTTTGAAGGTTTTGTTATTTACAGTCAGTTGCTGTTTTACTTTGATGTTTTTACAAATATGTTTCATCTTCAGTGAAATTCATAGAAAGGACTCTGACACTCTAGAATACAGGTTTCCAATAAAATTTGAGATTGTAAAACTAAACTGGGTAAAAATTACAGAACTCTACCAGAGAAACTGATGCCTTTGCAAAACGCTAACAAGATTAAGATCAAGAGCCAATCATACAGGACTGAATAAACCAATAGGGATGATAATAATTTTTATGCCTTTTTCATTGAGACACTGCTGATATTTGATGTTTTGTTTTTTCTGGTTTTAAGAAAACCTTTTTCTCTGTTCTCTTAAGGAACTATGATTTATAGCAAATGTAAACAAAATTGAAGCATTCATCTTTTTATCCCAATCTGAGCCCTCCAAAATGTAAAATCTCCTGATGAGTACGTATTCTTATTCTCATGGGAATATGACTGTTTGCATGAGTCCAAGAAGAATCTGTTCTTCTTATAACAGGACACAATTAGAAACACTGGTTATATTACCAAGGCTTTGACTAGAACATCATATTTGAAAAAAATACGGGCTTGGATATAAGAAGACAGCTTTTGAGGAACAAAGGTTGACATTCTGGAATAAAGCCACTTTGAAATATTGGCCTGGTATCTTGCTTATAGGTTCAGTTACCTGGTAAGTTTGAGCAAAGAATGTCACTCCCTATGGCAGATACAAGGAACCTCAATATTTTGGGGAACCTCACAAAGAGAGGTATTCACCCAAATCTGTAGGTACTGCAAGCAGAATCTGAGGACAGGTCCTTTGCTTGGCTTTCCTTGAGAGGCCTTTAAAGTTCAACGTGAGATTCCCTATAAGGTTCCAGTAAAGAAGATTTAAAAGGGCCTATATAATCAATTACTATTCTTACTGCACTTATGTAAACAATTATGCCAAATTTATTAAAACTAGACTTATTTTACAAACCAGTTAGCCTTAATTTGGCTGTATCTAGTGGAATTGAGGGTTATTTTAGAGAGAAAGATTGTGTTTCAATAGAAACTATAATACACATTTGTGGATGTTGGATTTTTGTTGTGTCAGTTGTATTTAAGATTTTTGTTACATCAGTTAACTGGATTGGATATTGAATTCTTTTAGTCTCCTGAAATATATGGCTACAAACCTCCAAATTAACATTTTCAGGGTTTTTCTCCATCATTTTCATTTGGAGTCATTGACAACTATATCTGCCCTCTTTTCTAAAGCCTTGGAAACTGAGGCTGGAGGACTTAATATAAACTTAAGAGAGATTCATGTCTACTGCTGTCTCAAAAAGCTACCTGAGTGCTTGATGACGCCATCAGAGATATTTGAAACTGCAAAAGATGCTTCAACCTTGACTTCTAGGAATCTTGATTGGCTGCCCCTTGAGCTCAGGAACTGGTTTATACTTCACTCCCAGCATTAACCTTGTTTTTCTCTTTTTGTTTCTCTAGAAAAACTTCTTATTAAATATCTGGTTACTTACTTACATGATACAGGCCTAACTTTGGGAGCCCACCTGCATCACCACTTTATTAAAATACTAGTTCAATGAGATGAAACAACCTATGCCCCATTTCAGCAGGAAGTAGCTCGATGTGTCACCATCCCAAATCCCTCCAGATTGAAGGATGGACATAAAATAGGGGGGAATTGATACCAACCCTGACAACAGTTTCCCTACATTAAACCCAGCATATGGTTTAAAACCAAAACACACATTCCCTGCTTATTCTCTGTCTTCCTGGCTCCAGAATTCCACTATCCTCCCTG